ATAAATATTTTTTTAATAGTGTCATTTTCTATCACGTTTAATTAGAGAATAAAAAATGCTGAATATTGTTTAAGGAAACGGAATTTTTTACGTGCCAATTTATTTCTTGCTTCTATGAAAGCGAGTTATCATTGCTTTAATACAAAAGCTGCGTTGGCTATTGTATTAGAACAAAGCTGAAAAGCATGATACAGTTCCGCGTAAAATTGAACAGTGATATTTGCTAAGTGATTGTCAATATAACTCTTCAGTACATAAAGCTAGAGTAAAGAAATAAAAGTTGACGAAGCCTTTTTAAATGTACTTTAATCATTTTTTTAAATAATATCTGCAATATTCATTGTGCGTGTATTTTTTTTACGACTGTTTGTTGTTTACGTTGTACAAATATACTTTAATTATGATGCAAAGAATTACAGAATATTATTCGGCAATGCAAATTAAAATGTTCTATTGTAAATATATGTACATCAAAGATGTAACAAAATTGTAGTTTTCTTGATGTGTAAGAAGAAAATTAGTTAAATTACAATTAATATTAATAAATATTTATTAATTTTCAGGTGATATTATTGATATGTTAACTCTTGTGAATTCGGCGATAAATTTCATTCTTTACTGCACAATGAGTAGACAGTTTAGAAAAACGTTTAATGAACTTTTCTGCAAAAGCTGGAAAATCCCCAGGAATACAAAAAAACAAATTTTTATAGAGAATAATGGAAATATGGACACAAATCATACAGTGACACAAGTAACACAAGTATAGTTAAAAGACAAATGGTGGAATTTCCTTTATGTGATATTTTTGTCTACTAAACATACGTCTTCTGATTATAACTTTCAAGTAACATAGTTCAATAAAAAAAGTTCAATGTATATGAGGTAAAACACCAAATGTACAGTTTTATGTTAAGTAGCATTAACATTGTACAATTGTTTATTTTTACTAATATTATTAATGCAACTCCAATATGTACTAGTAATATTTTTTTATTTAAACAACAGACGAAGTTTGGAATAGACCTATTTATTATATCATGGGACTTTACCACACGAACTGACACATCGGTCTAAAAACAACCGATGACTTTTTTACATCCCTTTAACTTCAGAGTGATGATTTTAGGAATCATGCAACCGAACTACACATGTCGATGAAATCGAACCACCTATCTAATTGTAAGACTAGACATTCAGCAGGTCTTCAGGCGGGCAAGGGCACCCGCCGATGCCCGCGGGCAGAGCTGAGGGCGAAGTTGCGGGCTAGTGATGTCACATACGTTAAAGCGGAGTGGGGGAAATACGCTGCGTTGCAATCTTCGAAACATAGGGGGAGTTCTCTTAACGCCGGACGACACCTAATGCTGGACATTATTTAGCTACTATCTGTAATAACTGAAACGCTACCGAGCCGTTATTCCGCGTAACCCGTAGAGGAGATAAACAAACAAAAATCAGGTTTCGACACGTTTCAGTCGCGTGTGCACAGCTAAAGAGATTTATTTAAGAAAAACCTTAAGCGTCCGGCACTAGGGGAACTCCCCCTAATTCTCCTTCTTAAAACGGGCGGTGGTTACTCCATACATGCATACATACACGCACCGTTGCCCGAAAAGGCGCGGCTTGTTACCTGCCGATTTGTTGTTTACGCCCGGGGAAGCTTAATACGCTGCCCACACGGGCAACGACTGAACGATACTGGATTATAGTATAGAGTTTTGTATGTACGTATCTCGTTTAGAACTATAGAATATCCTGTAATTCGTTTGTTATTTCATAGTTATGCTTACTTTTAATCCTAACCTCTGCGTTGTTATGTAATTTTATACTGAATCGGTAATGTTGAAAGTGACACGAAAATTGTATCTACTGTACTGGCATCCACAAATTCTGAAAGTGGTATAACAAAAAAAAAAAAATTAACTGATCAATTTATTCTATACTTCGTTTGCGTTTATACTTATCACAACAAATTACATTTGAGTTTTTAAGCTTATCTTGTGAGAAACATATGTAGCTTCTACTAAATTTTATATATTGCACCAACAGATTTACTTTTTGGAAACATTTCATTATGAACAATTGAAATTTTAATGAATTTAGAAATATTTTATTGAAAATACCACTGCCAAAATGAAGCTACTCGATAATTTTATTGTATAAATGCTGTAATGATTGTGTAATGAAAGATAAAAAACTGGAAACATACTAATACTATGCTAGAAAACATATGTATTCCTAAATCCATCAATATTTGCTTATTGTATCAGAATTTCTTTACGTATTTCAAAAAATATTACTTACGGTGATTTAAACAAAAGATTTATACCTTCATCTTGAATAAATCGAAAAAGTACATAAGTATAACCATAATATTAAGAGTATATTTTTACTTAACGACAATTTATTTTATTGTTAACAATTGTTATTTTAAAAAATTTAATTCAACGATTTCCTTGTAAATTAATTACAACTGCTAATATAATGTAATTGCATCATTGATAACGTTTCTTAATTTGAAACAATGTACAAATTGTAAATATAGATATTTTTACAGGAACACGTATGTATCGATAAATGTCTATAATTTATAGTAACAACTATAGTAAGATAAATGTATACAATACAAAATATAAATTTACAATGTATTATCTTGCGTCCATTTCCTTGTGTAGTTTCCATTGTTAACAAATTAAACAAATACCGCGTTGTTTCCAATACGCTGAAGAGAATGAAATTAACAATTTGAAAATTAAAAGTAACTACTTACATATGTATATTTGAAATTCGATGACTTGTCGAATACAAATTATAGGAATATTTAACATTTCACAGTATAATTAAATATACAATGCAGATGAATTTGATTGTTTAATCACTACAGAATACAAAATACCGAGTTATTCGTCTGTTAACCTATGTATTCAATGCGAGTATTCAGTATTTTATATATTTCAATACAATTCATTACTCCAATTTACAATTACAGAATCAAATAGCAATTAAAAGACGGTAGCAGAACCCATAAGTACCGATAGAGCGTCGATAAAGTAGGAACAAAAAAAGGTAGAAAAAAATCAAAACGCGGGCGTCTTAAAAATATGGAAAAAGCAATGAAATCAGGTAAAGAAAAAGAAAATACGTTAGACGAATTTATAAGTAAAATATAAAAAGAAGTATTAGTTTCGCGACGAGTCCTGGGAAAATCTGCGTTTGTTTACGGCGCAATACAGTACATACAATGAGAATTTATATTTTGATAAATAATTGCATTTCTTCATTTTTCCTGATGTTCAAATTCTTTCCTTGATTTCTATGATATTCTGGAAGGTCTATCTGTAATTCATATGCAAAAAAAATTAATTTTTCTAATTTTTAATAAAAATTATAAACAATTTCCGACTAATTCACTGAATACAATGTTTAATTCAATGCAAAACTAATATGTAAAGCTGTTTTATTAAATTAAAGCATACGATAATTTTATTTAAGACTTCCAATAATTATAGCCAACCATTTACATTGTTATTTGACAAGAAACACTAAATTGTTTTTTGACAAGATAATTAAAGTACTTTAATAGACAGGATAAAAAACAGAGAGGATGAAAAAGTACTACAATTAAAGTACTTGAAAGTAAGCCAGAAACTGTATTTTACTATCTGCATTATTAGTACTGTTAGAGCTATTAAAAATTGATTATAATTATCAATTAAATATAATAGAGATGATGAGGATAGTACAAGAGAAATGAGTTAGACAAGGATAGATAATTTTTCAGAAATAAACAACACCATCTCGTGTTTGGCTGCGCGAACTAACGACTCGTTACTAGGAACACAGAATGTGAACAGAGGTATTAGACAAGGAACGTACTACTGTGCGACAAGGATAGAGAGAAAACGTTTCCTATTGGTCCACAGACCGCTAACCTCCGCCATTCAGACGCTAAATCAAGTCGACCGGTTAAAAATCATTAATAACTCAATAATTACGATGATTTTGTAAACTTTTAGAATTGAAGAATGAAGTGTGGACCTTTAGCAACTTTCTCATATAGATTTTAATGCACTAGACACTTTCAATAATTAGTTATTAACAATTTTAGTACGTGATGTCGGGAACAATACCACATACCGTCGTGTACCTTTACGGTTTGTGACGTCACCGGACGTTGGCTACGGGCCAGCGCCCTGGCGGCCGTCGACGCCCTTGCGGTTTAGATGGAGGCTGTTAGGAGGCTACGGTGAGCGCAACGCTCTCGCTCGTCCGGATTGCCACCGAAAGGGATATACATTTAAGGATAGCATAAAAAAAAATTCACCATGTGAAGGACATACTAGCGTGGCGGTTTAAATTGGTACAAACGCAGAATATTGCAAAATGTTTTTTACATTTGCGCAATGCCGGGTTGCATATCACTGCCAACGCCTGGTCACCTTGCAAGTTTTATTCGAGTGTGGCTCGGTTTCTAACCGATCAGAACAGATCTTTTACGGGGTCGATCGTGTCGAATTCCCATGGGCACATATGGAAGGGCAGCCCTCGCAGAATTTCGACCGAGAATAGCCCGTAGAATGTGCGAGAGGCTGGCAAGCAGCGCTGGGGTAAGTATAAATTTTTAAATCATAAACATTTCGTAATAAAAATCGAATTCTTATAGTGGTGTACTTTTCTGTTTTATTTTAGTGTCAGCCGGACAATGGCATACCGGCAATTACAAGATGAAGGTGTGCACACCAAGATTATTACTTCCAACGGATGGAATATGCAAGGTGGCTGTTGGGAGAAATCGAACGGAATCCATCGTTCTACAGGTTACCATTTCTAACTGACACCACAGCCCCACCACAATCAGCCCCTTTCGGGGCCCCAATTTTTTAAACGTAGGACTTTTCTAACTTATTGTTGTATTGCTAAATACTTCGACGAGTTATCCTTCATAGTAAGCACGACTAAATATGTTGAATTACATGGGTAGAACTGATCACGATCGTTTGACAACAGTAGAGCACTCCTATATGACGAATCATTTACTAATAAACAATTACGTTACTTTTTTATTTATAATTTTATAGCCACTACTAATGTTGTAATTATATTCTATGCTAAATCGGTAACGTTGGGAACGACACGAAAATGGTAAGAGGCCTGTATATGGCCTGTACGTTGAGAAGAGAAGGGCAGGTGTATAAGAATGAATGAAAGCTATTTAGAAAAATATTGTACACCAAATCCATTTCAGGGCTGTGAAGACGAAATAAGCATTACTTATTATTATACATTTACTATGACTGTATTTAAAAAAAAATAAAGAAAGGTTTGCATGTATCATAAATTTTACAAAAATGAATCAATATAAAAAAACAAGTAATTTTATTATGTACGAAGTAATAAGTTTTGTTTCATATTTCATCTTTTATGAAGATTTCTGCATATATTCTGTATGGAATTTCTGCAGAAAAGCAGACTTATTTATAGGAGAGTCATATATTGACTATCAATTAAACTATATAATATCAGTACTGGTCGTTGTTTTTCTTTTCTTACTTCTTGCATCTTTTCACATATCTCCTTTATGTATTTCTTATGCCTTGGATGTCTGAAAAAGCAAATAAGATTTTGGCAATAAGAATTCATAAATTAATTAATTTAAATTAATTTTACTAGTTGAAATTTTAGCAATTTTACTTTTTCTAGTTGAATTAATTACAAATTTTAAATTAATCCTTTCTATGTATTTTATTCAACGAGAGAAGGGAAAACTTAAGAGTAATCATGTTATAAATGCACTGTGTAAGATTCAAATAATTAATGATAACATAGTTATAAAAATATAAAATTTCGAATGTGATATGCTTCTTTATACACATTATAAAAATTATTACGTTCGTACAATTGTGTAACATGTTATTAAATAACTAACTAACAAATAATACATACTTACTTATCTATGATAACTAGTACGCTTTTCACAAAATTTTGGTCTTCTTCGTCAATTTCCAAAAAGCTTATTATCGTTCTTATTACATTCATTTCTAAAAATACTGCAAATATTTCAATGGGAATCTTATGTGAAATTCTTTGAAAATATGTAAACATTTGTGAAACCATAGAATTCTTCAAACTTCTTCTGGAACTACCAGAAAGTTTATCTCTTTCAGATAAAATAAAATTGATATTAACATTAACTGGATTATTATTACTTAAAAAATTATCGCTCGTTGTTGTTGCTGTTGCAGCTGTTTTGCTGTCTGATCTATTTAGTATAGGTATAGAGTTATCCAGTCTTTGAAAGAACTCTCCAGCTTCTTGATTCGACATTCTTTTTTCTTGAAATCTGTCACGTTCCCAACTTTGAATTCTTATGCTTCCCTTTTCTCCACTTTTTAACAGAATAACATGATTGATTGAGTTTTCTCGACAATGTTCGAGAATTTCTTCAAGAGAAGTTAGATCTAGAATTGTAACTTTCAATCCAAAATTCCATAATTCTTTCAAAAGATCAATCATTTCTTTTTCTCGATGATGATTGCCCATACAAGAAATGGCAATGTCAATACCGTATTTAGTACATTCCAAAGATTCTGATGTTTCAGAGACTGCAGAAACAAGTTTTTCTAAAGATATACTAATTCCAGCACCATATTGCTTAATTTCTTTACTAGCCATTTCTGTACGTTCGACAAGTTTTTTAAATGAAGAAAGCATTTTATCGTAACGGCCTCCTGCTGCTATTACTTCCTCTCCACCTTTCTTTTTACGTCGTTTAACTTCGCACGTTAATTGGTATATTATACCACTATGTTGACTAATATTATGCACTAGGAGAGGAACTACAACTACTGGCCACTGCAAAGTTTCATTATATTTTTATATACTGTTATTATTGACCCCCTAACGCGCAATTTTAAAAAAATCAGTTTTTTATCCGTGGAAATCTTTATTTGAACATATTTTTGTATAACATTTATACTTATTGGAATAAAAAATAAAATATTCAATCAAAACCATTAATTTTATTTCTAGAATTTATTGTATGTACGTAAAATGTAGGTACAATAACTGCAACAGTTCTAAATAACAAAGAATTAAAAATTTTCTTTTGTGTGATAAATTTCAAAGCAAGGTGCAGCATATAATCCAACATTACAAGAATTACAATGGTACCGAGATTTTTTTCTTCTTCTTTTTTCTTTACTGTCCCGAAGTGTACAAAATGTTACAAAAATTATTAAAAATTAAATTAAATTATGCAAAAACTAAAAGAATAATTCTTTTTTCATATAATAATGACTTTCTTGAGATTATTTTTCATTGCTCGAGTTTATTCGAGTAACGTAAAATGCGACGCTACTCGAGTTAACTCGAGTATGCACATTTCTGACATTATCATCCGCTCAAATTAATTCGAGTGTGCGCGTTAAGGGGCTAATATATTTATATTTGTAATTAAGATCAAAATATTATGTATGTGAGGAAAGAAATCATCTTGAAAATACAATTCGAGTTGTACTTTGTAGATATTTGATGTAATATACACATACAGTATGTTCGTTTTAAGTGCCTACATGTAATTATTTCTATAAGTATCAGAAATATGAAAAAATGTTTCAGATGAAAGTTGTATGGTATCAAAGGGGACATATATAACAGCTTACAAAAAATACATGTGTAGGTACTGTTTTGAATACGTCTCAGTATTAGCTACAAGAATATGTAATAAAAAAATATAGGGTTCCATTTAAAAATTTAAACGTGACCTTCGCAGGACTCTTTAAGGTTATCTCAAGGTCAAATAATTATCATCATTATGTGTCCTCCTCGATACCATGCAACTTTCATCTGAAACATTTTTTCGCATTTCTGATACTTACACAAATAATTACATATAGACACTTAAAACGGACATACTGTATAGTCAAAATAATCTGAAACTTTTCAACATTATTTCTATTAATATTGTTTTTATAATAATATATTATTTTACCTTCACACCAAGTGTTTCAATATTCTCCATAACCATCTCAATTTCTCTTAGTCCTTCTCTAGCCAAAGCAGCAGCATCTCCTTTCCTTCTTGTAATTGTTTTTAAAACGCTATGAATTTTGGCAACAGAACTTTCAGTCTCAAATAAATTAAATAATGTCTCCATAGCTTGATCAGTTAAACATAAACTTATTAAATGCGTCTGTATTTGAAACTTCGTAAATTTTCCATCACGTGCGTCCCGAAGAATTGAATAAATATCTTGATATTTTTCTTGATCAACTCCGCAATACATTAATACAGCTTGCAATAAAGAAGTATGATTCAAGCGAACAGTAAAATTTCGTTCTTGTAGTGGAGGTAATTCGTTAATAATTTCCCAGACAATGTATATTAATTCAGCTTCCATTAGCAAATTATTAGGAGTAGGACTTATTATATCGAATGCGCATTCGTAAAGTTCTCTAGGATGAAAACCCAGAACCTATAAATTACATTGAGCATGATATTAAATTATATTTAATTAAGGAAATATTAAGGTATTTAAATTATTTACATAACTCTAATACCAGATATTTTTAACAAACAACTTCACGGATAAGAAATTTGCATGTACTTAGAGAACCTTACTGAACAAAATTAAATAATGTTAATTTATTAATCTATTATTTTCTTCATTCTGCTAAGTTATATTACTGTGTAATATAGGTAAAAATTGTTTATGTCGATTAATTTTTACTATTATACATATAATTGATTTAATATTTTTATTTTTTTTATTTCTCATATTAAATCAATATCACTGTAGTATCTTCATAAATAAACTATCATTTAAGAAAACTGTAATACCTTCTTTTCCCTAAAGACTTTTTCGATAGCATATCTTCTAGTATGTGGCACATTGTTCCATACGATATATCGTGCAAACGGAGTACGTAAGTCATGGGGAATACAAACAATATTCCCATTACGTGTCATTAATTTTACACTGGAATTTGAAAAACTACAGAACTGATACGATTTTGGTATCAATAGGGGTGTTCCTAAATAAACACCACCGTGCCTTTGAAAAATTTCGATTACTTTGGTCTTGACTCCTTCCTGATGCTTTCTCCAAGCAATAGAGTTGATATGTCCCCTGTTAGGCAAATTCATATCATAAGTAATATCGTCTGCTGGACTAACTTCTTGCGTGAAACAGCACGAAATTAAATATTTATATGCTTTGCTTTGATTATTCGAAAGAGTGCGTCGAATCATTTCTTGCAGCTCCGTTTCTTCAAGTCGTGGCGGAGGTAGATATTCTGAAGAAAGCAGTTCTTGAGCTGTAGGTCGTTGACTCGGATCGTGGTTTAATAACCATCTATAATAATTAAATATGGATTTCAATTAATTTATGCAATTCTTCATTTTCATAATACTTTTCTAACGATTACTTAATTAGTATATTTTTATTTACACAGATATATTCAAAAAGGAAATATTAACGAATTGTAAAATGTCAAATATAGTGATTACGAAGTAATTCATTGATACAACAAATATGATTCATTTTAATGATCAAAAGAAACACATAGGAATTAAATGGTTATAAACACATATCGAAACTTCTCTAATCATTTAAAGAAAAAAGTAAAACAAAATTGAAAACTTTTGTAAGTTTGAAGTTTAGGGTAACAATGATATTTCTCAATGTTAAAAATTTTAAATACGATCAAAGGGTAATCTTATTTTTGTTATATTTCCTTTTGACAAATAAGAAAAGCATTAGCATATCATAATATTATAAATTAAATGCACAAAATGTCAGATTAGAAATATTTGTTTCACTTAGTAAAACGTACCGCAAAATATGAATTTGCCGTGACATGTCTGCTTGTTGCATTTCTGAAGGAAATACGGATTCTTTCAATCGTAAATTAAGTAAAACCTTAATTCGTTCCATTCCTGTACTTAATGGTTTGTAACACATTTCAAACAATATTATTCCAAGACTGTAAATATCGACTTTTTGATTATAAATGGCTTTTGCTGCTTTCGTCGTAAGTTCTGGTGCTACATAGAGTGCAGTGCCTACTTGTCCTGTTAGAGAACCTACATCTTCTGTGCCAAAACTAATTCCTAAAACATTTCGTACAATACACACCATACGTCGAAACAGTAAAACACACGAGTTTTATAATAATAGATATATATCTGCTGTACAGAAATTAGCTCATTACATGGTAATATGTAATTGGCATTAATAAATCAGCATGAATTTCATTTTGTAAAATTTGCTGGTTATTATTTGAATTAATTGAATTCTGAAAATAATTAACTTTTTCTTTAGTACTTACCTTTTTCTAAACCGTGAATTTCCTTGTCGGTTTCTATGGTTTGTACAAAGGATGGAAGTACATTTGTGGTTGCCAGACCAAAATCTCCAATTTTTACATGATCATTACTATCCAAAAAGATATTTACTGGTTTCAGGTCCCTGTGTATCATTCCTTGTTGATGAATATGGGCTAGACCTTCAACAATTTCACGGAACAGTTCGCAAAGTACTCTTTTCACAGAACTCCATTTGAATGTACATAAATTGAATCTCTCTAATTTTTTCTTTTGACTCATTTGATACAACGTCCTCATTTGTCCTCAACGTCCTCAACGTTCCCATCGCCCAGTTACAGCATCGTCCCGGTACAACATCCTCATTTTCATCATTTTTTATGTTTGACTCGGATGCTTCATAGTTTGAGTCCCTTTCAAACTCAATACTGTCAGAAGAATCCATTCTCAAAAGATTCTGCATTCTGAAAAATATATTCTAAATCATTTATTGTAAAGTATAATTCGAAATTAATACATTTGACTTTCAATATTTTTATATAAAAACAATTTTACCATCTTACGGTATACTAAATTACACGATTTTCCTATCTTTTCATTTCTATAAATTCATTTTATGATCTTCAAATTGATGCAAGAAGTACAGTTTAATAAGAAAAATTAATTTTATATTTTGCTTTTGGCTTTTTAATTTGTTTGATACATCAAGCAAGAAACTTTTTCATTAGTACATATAAATATTCAAAAATGAAATATATATGTGTAACTTTGAACTAATGATTTATTTGTATAAGAAAACATTCTTCTTTTAGTAAACAAATAGAAAATTATGTGTAAATCAACATTTTGAAAATAAATCTCTTACAAAAACCCACAATCTTCGTCGCTATCAGTATCGCTCGAAGCATCACTGTTATCTTCATCACTGTCGGCTGGAAGTGTTGTGTTTGTTCGAGATTTATATGAAACATTCCATTCAACATCTTGCAAAGATGGTGCCAATTTTTCAATATCATCTGTTCCCAAATGCTGAAATGATACTTAGAAATTAGAACACATATGTTGTAATAGACAAAAATTTTTTAATAGTATGTATCTTTAATAATAAGCATTTGACATCAAAAATAAGATTTAGCACAAGAACTTTTTCATTCCTTTTTCCATGAAATAAAACTAAATTTTTAAAAATGTCTCACTATTAATATTATTTTTAAACGTCAAACTTTCCAAGTTCCGCAAAAAGTTCACAGATTTACTTATTATTTTTTTTAATTTTTCATCTAACTAACATCTTGACACTTTTCTTGGATACCATATACACAATAACTCATACCCCTCGCCCCACCCATAACGAGTAAGTGCTTCCATTGTTTAGTTATAAACAATTAAAAATTAACTTTAAAAATCAATAATCCACTCAACATCTTTGAATGTTAGGGAACACACAATAAGAATGGGAGAAAGGGGTGAGAGGTTTTTAATCGTCGAACGGCTGAAGGTCGGACAATCTGGCTGAAGGACGAAAAGCAAAACCGGTTACGTCTAACCCATTATAAGATTTCTTTGTCTATACATTGAGAATCAATTTTTTTCGTCAGATTTTTATTTAACTAAATTAAACTACATTTCTCAGTAAAAAAAAATAAAGATGATCTTGAAATCTCCTCTACGCCTCCATCCATGAGAGAAGTGTTTACATCAAATTATATCCCACTCCATATCATGAGTAAAAAATGAAGTAATAAAATAATATAAGTGCAATACTTACGTTAAAAGTGTCTTGATTTTTCTTCTCAGAAGGCGTGATGGATATAGATTCTTCGGTTTCAGTTATAGTAGCGCTTTCTATCCACGAATTGTAATATCGTACTACATTTTCATGATTCATTCGAGATAACAACTTCACCTCTCTAGTAATTTTCTTATTGAGCTGCTTGTTTTTTGGATTCAGTTCTATCCTTTTTATAGCGTAAATTCCACCATCTAATTTGTTTTTCACTTTAAGAACATCGCCGAAAGCACCTTTACCAAGCCACTCAAGAATTTCAAATTCATTTGTAATTCTGGAGTGACCATTTAACGGAGGTACATATTGTCGAATATCCGTATCCGGCTCTCCTGGCTCGTGATCCTCTTGTTCATCTCTCCGTGGTATTTTTGGAGGCGAAAAAGCATGAACTAAAGGGGCTTTTATGAACGAATGTTGTAGCAATTGTTCGGCTGACCAACGCTTTCTTTCATCGTTGTTAAGACACTTTAATAAGAAATCTTGAAGATCGGGCTGAAGCATTTAAAAAATAAATTTTAAATGAAAAATCAATTGATCATTTATGTTCATTTCTATGATAGTGAGTGACATTAACATTAAATATTATTTGATGCACTTTTTACAAATAAAGATTGTATGCCCTATGAAAAGGTTGTGTTACTTATAAGCAAAATATTACTTTGTTATTTAGACTTCTCCTACTTATCTACTTTAAAATAAGTAACCAACACTTGGTATTTTCTTATTTTTATATTTTTGTAATCTTCAGTTACTAACACATTTCTTCCCCTTAAATTTTCTGTTGAATATTAATCTAAACAATTTTTAAATATAAAGGAACATACCTGTGTAATTACTGTTGGATCAATTTTATCTCCAGAAACTATGTTTCCATTCAATAAAGAAAACATAAGGACACCAAAACGGTAAATATCTGCCTTTTTTCCACCTCTACCTTGAATGCTGGGAAAATCTGGTTCAGGCTTAACTGCAGTGCATGTCTGATAAATATCCGACAATCTTTTATTCAGGGAGTAATCTGACAACCTAACTGTTCCTGTATGATCAATGTAGATACTCGTGTCGCGTAAATCCTTGTGCACAACATTATTCTCATGTAAGTATCTTAAGGCAGAAAGGATTCCAGCTGCCAGATACCGAAGAAGATCAACATTTACTGGAATGTTTTCCACTAAGAAAAATGAACAGCTGGTACCTACCTAGTAAATAATTAACATACAAATGCTCTTTAATTTTTTTTAAAAAGATTCATACGATTGTCGAATAATTTATAGAATTCTTTAATTAGTTAAAGTATAAAATATTTATCTTTATATTTGGTACAATATTTACCAAACTACTATATAAATGTTATTGTTATTAGAAAATATACGAATGT